ATCGGTAACACGAAGAGTGAAAACTAAAACAGATGATCACATGCCATGAGAGCTGACTACATTGAAGTTACTGAACTGTAACTTCCTGAGCGTGACTCTCACAAGTGTACAAAGATCAATCTGAGAGAGTTATGTTTCTGTTGTGAGCATTTTGTTTATAATTCTGCTGCTCAGACGAGCAAGAACGTAAAATAATTATTTTTTACCGATCTTATCCTTTGCTTGTTCTTTTTCATTATTCACTTTCTTATCTCATTTTACTATTATATATTATTAATTATTTTAACCTTGACTTTTTTGTGGTACGCACGTGCGTACCGTGCGTGCAGGTAGCTACGCCTCTACTGAAAGCCTTGCGGGCTCATCTCTAATCAGGTAGTTAACATAGTGTTTTTAATACCATGGCATCTCTGATCTACCAAACATTAATTTTCACACGGAAACGAATTTGAAAATGATTATTCGTGACACTGAATTAAATATAAGACAAAATCATAGTTTCTCTTTAGAGGATTTTGGCATAGTATTACCCATTAAAATACTTGAGCTCGTTAAATCAAAAAAGAAATCAGAAAAAAATCTTTCATCGATTCTTAAAGAAATGTAACAACGAGCGTCTCAAAAGATCGGACCCATTCTCTAACGATTTTCAAGGTCGCGCCGTGTAGAAAACTAGGCGTGTTCCTTGCCATTGTTAAAAGCACTGACAATTGAGAAACATGATGTAATTCCATAGGTAGGTGATGGGATCCTGCGTTTCTCGATTGTTTCCATCGGCCAGTTATTATAAGCTAAAATCTTTCACTAAAACATCTCATGTAGAACTTTAAGAAAGAGTGCTAACATGTTTTTATCCCCTTAAGATATTGGTCCCTCTGCGGGAAAGTTGCTGTTAAGCACTTTCATATTTGCCATTACCATCAAGGGACAGTCGCCTTAGACTGATCCGCCATCCGAAACGGGAACAATCTACGACGATGAGTTATTGATCGTTCTCGAAGAGAGAACAATAACGGCGAGACGTCATTCGGCTTCACGAAGGTTCCATGAACAAAAAACAACATATTATCGACTTCCGTCGGGTCGATACATAAGTTAATAACGCGTTGAAACAGTTGCAAAAGTAGATGGAGGAGATTGGAACAAGCTAAGAGCATACAAACATACTTGACGAAACCTAAAGGAGTCAGGTGATTATAGTATTTTTTCTATTATTTTCAGAAGGGCTGACAAGTGTCAATGCTTGCGTGAAATTTACTAAATTCACTAGAACTCCCAGCTGGGTTTAGGATCAATGCGAGGAAGGTTATTATAGTACAGCATGTTTTGTTAATGCACGCACGTGGATTGCAAGGAACTAACATTACACAAAAGGCTTGCGTGAAAATTTACTAAAATCTCTAGAACTCCCAAGTGCGTTTAGGATCAATGCATGGAAGGTCATTTTGTTATTAAATGCACGTACGTGGGTTGCAAAAACACTGACGGAACTGTTGCTCAAATCTTAGTTATCATTTGCGTGGCCCAAAGGGACATCATGTGTCAATATGTAACGATGAACTAAGCAATTTTCGTTCTCCATTTTTCATCTGTAGTCAGTTTACAAACGTCAGTTGTTTTAAACCTTCAATCATCCACACTTCCTGCCTCAACAGCGTGAACAAATCATGGAAATTGTGTACGATCGGTTACACCTGAGCGCTTGTCTTTAAATCATACAACTGGACTAAAGCTAAATTCGACTAACTTCTTAAAAACTAGAACCTTTATCGCGGGAATAAACTTTAGGTCTTTGTAGAGGTTAAACCAACTTAGTTTACTGTTTATAATTTATCCTCTAGATCTAATTCTTTTGCGCAATTGTGTTCAGTACAAATAGTATGACATACAATAATTCTGCCTCTGACGTAAGCTAGACACGGGTCACGAGTCAAAATCTGACCTCCTCAATACGGACATTACAATACCGGGGGAAGGGGGGGGGGAGGGTACTCAACCATTTGAGCATAGGTGAGCCACCGAGGATTTGATTTTTCTGTTAAGGACAAAAATACCCTAAAATACATACCCTGTTTAGCGCAACAGCCCAAATTTTTTCACCCTGTTAAGGACAAGGGACAAAATCCACGCCAGAGCAAACTCACGTCATTGCTTTTATATACTTGGAGTACAAACAAAATTCATCTAGCATATCAAATCAATCGTGAGAGCGATACCCTGTTTAGGACAAAGAGGTAAATAACCATACCCTTTCCAAGAGTGCCCTCTCCCCCGGATGACAATACGGAAAAACAAGTGTCCACTAGTGTCCACACAAGTGGACGCCATTTTTGTCATAGTATTTTCATTTGTTTAAAATATCTTTCATAAAATATCCTTCATAAAATATCTTTCGGTCAAGGCCAAAAAGGACAATTGAGCGGCGTTGACAATAGAGTTGTCAGTGTGGACAAAGGGGTTTGGATGAAAGTGATTCAACAAAAAAAGCCGACATTAAGATGTTAACGCTCCGTGCTATCTGGATACTGTTCTCCAACTGTTCTCCACAGATGCAAATCAAGAGACTTGGCACCATTTCAACTGATTCTGGAGTCGTTTCCCGCTAATATCCGAACACGTAAGAAAAATGACCGATAGCTTTCTATATACTTCTTCTTCTTTTACTACGTGCTTCTATACGTCCCACCGTTAGTACACTTGTCTGCGTTTTTATACAAGCTCCCCGTGTGCCGTGGGAAGAAAGCGCGCGCTGGGAAAACGTGAAATAAACACGAGAACACGAAAAGTTTCCCAACAGGTCAGTCTGGCAGGTTTTGTGTAATTTCATTTGCGAAATCTCGTCACTAAATAAAGCAAGTTCGATTCAAACAATGGTTTCATCAAGTGAATACGTTTATGTATTTTATTTCTTTTCTCGAATAACTAACGAACGTTAATCAAATTACTGAACGTTAACGGAAGTATTTAATAACCATTCAGCGAAAAATTCATAAGTACCCCATACTAAAAAGTGGGGGCTAAAGCCCCCCAACTCCCCCTGGCTTCCTAGTCGCCGCCGTCGTCTGCAGACGACGGAGACGCGAATAGAAAATGAACATACAGTTATTATAGAGTCAAAACTTCATGATCACATGATCATAATTCTCTCGTCGGTAAAAACGCGTAAATCCAACGTACTCAAAAGACAATCGCTGAAATGGCGATAAAAAACGGATGAAATGTATTTTAAAGGCGTCTAATTAGAGAGCTTTAGACAGACCTTCCAACTCTCATGGCTTGGGCAGTCAACTCACGGTCTCACGATTTAGCCTCCAAATCTCACGGTGAATCAGAAAATCTTAAAATTGCCAGACAATTTCGGTAGGAACCGCGTTATTTCAAAAAAGAATCGTCGTCATAAAGTACGAATATTGTATCAATCTAACCATGGGGGGACTTGAGTCCAATTCGAACCTCATTCTCGTAAAACATAGTTTCGCTAAGGCCTGTGGAAAAGCCCTGGATAGCAAAACAGAATTCTTCTCATTACTGTTAAAGAGCAAGAACACAGTACAAAAGAGACCACTAATAGCGTAAACAACACCATCGCAAAAATAACCCGCCTTTTTGGTTTTATTTGACACATATTTTGGAAATCTCCAGGTTTGAGGCCCAACTCTCCAGGTTTTTGGAGACTTTTTTTCAAACACTCCAGATTTGCATGGTTTAGGGGTTGGAAGGTCTGTTTAGACTTTGAGGACGAGAAAGAGGACGAGAGATTTTTTTTTGAGTGTGTTCTCAAAAAAAGCGGCGCCCGAAAGCTCCATTTTACGTTTTTCACCAAAAAAGTTAGTACAGTTATTTATACTGAAGGAGGTTAAGCCCTCTCCCGTCAGCAAAATGATACAACTTGTTACATTTGATAACTTGTTCCCGCCCCTGCGACATTCTAGGTACAACCCGTAGTAGAGTGACGTCGGCCATCACGTTTTCCCGCGAAAATGACGCTGGTTCACGCGTGAGCAATACGCAGTGCTGAGAAAATCACGTCCTCATCGTCGTCCTCGTCTCAGAATCTAAAGCTCTCTATTGTTGAGAGATGGCGCTCGGTTTCCGTTGTGACGACCGTTCTATACTAGTGTTAATATAGCGGGAGTTTGTTTTAGTCAAACGTATATGATTTTGCCTAGATTTACCTACTGTCCGCACACAGTCTGGAGTCCTTCCACGGGAGGAGGGAGAAGGGTAGCATGTCGCTTTGTCGCTCATAGCGCCTGGAAAGAATTAATTGTGACGGAAGAGAGTTTGTTATTTCGCTGCCAAAAGAACTGCAATGCAAAAGTGAATAGATGTCGCTCTCACTCAGTACTTAAAAAATGGACTCTCGCGGTCACAATTCTATCTTCCTTTTCTCCCGATTGTTGGTGCTTTCTGAGAAGACTGTCGCCAGTTTTTGGGGCCATGTCGCCTGTCACTTGGAAGGCAACGACAATTGGTGTCGCTCTAGCCTTGTGGTACCGTCTACACGAGGTGTTAGCTTCCTAGCAGTCCATATTTCTTCAGCTCCATAGCAGTTTGACAAAATAAATAAGAACTAAGCCTTTACATAAGAGCGTTGTTTTGCCGCCGTCCTCGATGGGGATAACTGGACGGACAGATTTTAGAAAAAAGGTGCACTGAAAGCAGTCTTCAGATTAAAGGGTTGTTTTTTCGAAGTCTAAAATTACTATTATGCCGAGAATAGATTTTTTGGAGAGATCTTGCCTGTGGTGAGTGTCCAAGCAACATTATTGCGTATGCTAGCGAAAACTTGGACTAGTTAACATTATTAGAAGGTACACTGTTCTTTTTTTTGTCGATAGGAAAATAGAGAAAATGGTTTATATTCTTTCTCTAAATCAACTGCTGGATAAGATAAGTTGAGGTACTGGAGATATTTCAAAAGCTATTTCAGAAAAGAGTTACAAGTATAGTGGAATGAAAGGGAACATCGATGCAGGAAAGTCAATGCTAGTTACGTAATGATAAGCGATCAGCCATCTACACAAAGGTAACCTCTCCGGGGCAAAACCTGTGCGGGAGAAGAAAGATTTCAAGCCGTACAATGGTCATTGTGTTTATCTCTGAGAAGGCGCTCCAAAATAGTGTACAAGAGGTGACGGATGGGCGTGATTCCACGAATGGTCGACTCACCCTGTGTAATTTCCGTCAGAATAGATAAATAAGAAAAATAATAATAATATTAATGACTGTTTATTAAGACTCATTGCAGCAATATACAGAATGGCTGAATTACAGAGCTATTTACAAAACATATAATACTAAAATATAATACAATAAATCCAATAAATACTAGAAAATATAATTGTACAAGCCACTAGGTATACTTGGTCCTACAGGTAGGACGCGTGGAGCGGCTAATGCCAGATCTAAGATTATGATTATGCACAACCTCCTCTTGTTTGGGGAGCATAAAATGCAAGGGATGATTCTCATTCCGGAGTCTATCAATATAAACCTGGCATAGATGGGCGCGTCTGTCACTTAGAGTTGTTAAATTAAGGGCATTTAATGCCTCGTTGTAATTCATTAAAGGAAAAATGATGCGCATAGCCCTTTTCTGAATGCTCTCAATCTTATAAGATAGAAAATCTGGTATATTTTTCCAGAAAGGAGCAGCATATTCTAGAACATATCTTAGTGTCCACAATTAGCTTTTAGCTAAATACCTTGACACTTTAATAAAGTTTATATATGTATGTAGGTATGTATGTAACAGGACGAACAATGGTTGTATGAACCTTAGCCAGTGAAGCTGGAGGCGCACCACATTGCTTAAGGACCCTTAAAGAGTACAGCCTCCTGTTTCCCTTTTGCACTATAACTTCTACATGATGGTTCCATTTCAGGTCATTACTTACATAAACGCCTAGTAGCTTATATGTCATGACTCTCTCAATTGTGTTACTACCAATTACAATAGGATTTACAATAAAATTATGATTACTCATAAATTTAATTAGCATCTCCTTGCATTTAGTAGGGTTCAACTTCATTCTGTGATCTTCAGAAAAAGCATACATATCGTTTGTAACAAAATTGAGTAGACTGGCACTGTTCCTAGGGATTATTTCAAGGGCTGTTGTATCATCAACAAACTTTATTCTAAGGTTCCATGAGCGCAATAAATTATTTGTCATGATTGTAAACAAAATGACTCCTAACTTGGTGCCATGTGGTATACCACCCTTGGGAGTTTTCCACTCAGATATAATGTTCTCAATCCTCACAGCCTGAGTCCTGTTACACAGAAAAGCTATTATCCAGTTAACTAGATCAGGGTGCACATGCATGTTCCTCAGCTCCTCAATCAGCACACTGTGGTCAATCATGTCAAAACCTTTAGAGTAGTCAGCAAAAAACCAGCCTAGCACCACAGCTCCCTGTATCCGCTGCCTCATACACAGCCTGCAGCAAATAGACTAACGCGTCAGTGGTGCAATGTCCTGCACGTTCAAACTGACGAGGGTCGATCTGATGAGACACTTGTGTAATCAAGCGGTCCCGTGTGAATCCCTCAAGCACCTTACCAAGAGTGCATGTCAGAGCGATGGGCCGCAAATCGCTCTCTATCTGCTGCGGAGGTGAGATTTTAGGGACTGAGTTCAGCAGTGAGGCCTTCAAGGCATCAGGAAAATAACCCTCGCTCAGGGATGCGTTGTAAATATCCTTGACAACTGGTGCTAGTTCTTGAGCGAACTCCTTCAGTACCCTGTTTGGGATGCAATCAGGACCAATAGCTTTGCCGATCTTCACAGCTGAGAGGGCCTGGAAAGCTTCCCTCTAAGATACCAGGAATTCAGTGGGAACTTCCTGAGGGGCCAAGACTTAAGGCTCTAGAGGTGTAAAATGATCTGTCAAACTGGTAAAAAAATTATTTACCTTATTTGAGAGGGAGAGCAAAATCCGGCCAATCCTGCTTAATATCCTTTCCAGTCAAGCGTTTAATATGATTCCACCAATGAAAAAGAAATCAACGAGGATTTTTGCCTTTCTCAGGAATGCTATATAAACCATTTCAAATTTCAAGCAAGACGGTTTTTCAGGACATCTGGTAAACGCCGAGAATCTTTAGGTAAAATATATCCCAGAATGTTCTAACAGCTCTTTGAAAGCTGGCAGTTTCCTTCTCATAGAAAACATGCATGCAGTAGCTAGTAAGGCTACAGCTATCTAGCTGGTAATTCGATTTAATAGAACGATTTTTTTCAATTAGTTGACTGATTAATTGCAATTTAACAAAGTTATCGTGCAATAAACTGAAATAGTCCAGTTATATATGAAAGGTGGCACTCTTAGTTACGTACTCACAGCTAAGCTCATGTATCAACGCGCAGATCACAGCTATTTGTGAGGAGGTAAACTTTGTATGGCAACGTTTCGCACGGGTCACAGTAAAAGTTTTCTTTATGCGTGTTTAACCGGGTTAAATCGGGTGTAAATTGATCGAGAATATGAGAGTTTGGACACAGCTTGTTAAATTAATTAAAAATGTGCTTGACTTCACAGACCTATGGATAGAGCTTTCAGAGTGAATCTCGCAACACATGGAGAAAACTGCTCGGATCTGTCTTGCCCGCTGCCAATGTGCGTAAATTGGAGGCTGCAGAAGAGTAGAGGTGGGAATCACCCGCAGAAAGACAAGCAAAGGGGACTTCCCAGGGCAGGTAGTAAAAGAAACAGACACGAGCATTTGCAAACGAGGGAATTTTTCGATAAAGAGCTTCACGCTCCAATTTGTATAACCAACGATAATGAGGAGGAAAGGCTTATGGAGCAGCTGCTTGTTGATCTCGAAGAAATACAAAATGACGTTCAAGGCGCTACTGGAGGTGATCTAATGGCTCCTTTAGAGGCTATCCCGAATTGGCCCTCTCTGCCTTTCTGCCATCCCCCAACAAATCAAGCACACCAGCCCGTATTTGCTTTTCTCCCTTCACAGCCTTCTAACCCTGCCGACTCAGGATGTCTACTGCCGGACCCAGAGAAGTTCATCTCCTTGGATCCGTACGTCACAAACAAGCCAAACCCACCCCCTTTCACTGTGCCTGCCTTTGCTGTGATGGAATCCACAGATCAATCACGGGTAAAGATGAGCATTCCGGGCGAACAACCACTGCAAGCTCCCAACAAATCTTGCAAACTATTCGGAATTCTTTCAGAGATATTTAAAATGTTTGAGGAACCTGCGACAGCACATCTTCAGACGATTTACGAACAGGTTCTACAAAGAGCGCTAAGAGAGATCAAGAGTGCCTGTATCGATCAATCAAGACGCTTGAGTGGATGTTCATCTACATCATTACGTTTGCCTAAAAGAGAACGGTTTGTTTCAAAAATGCAATAAGGTTTGCTTGGCATTTGGCTAAATTGGTTGATCGTAATGTCACAGCTCTCGTAGTTCAATGGGACAGTAGAACCCCGGTAACTCGAATAGATTACTGAGTGCGAATTAAACTTATCTCATCAGAAATTGTAACACGGTTAGGCATTTCTATGATAATACAGGGAAATAATTGTCAAATACGTGATCTGTTCGTTGCACTTATTTAAAACAAATTGTGGAGTCTTTTGTGTTACTTTTAGGTGTTTCACCGATTTCACAACAAGAAACGCTATAGGGCTGGCAGTCGTGGTGAGTTACAAGATCTAGAATTTGATCAAGGGAAACGAAATTTCGTTCGAGTTAGCGGGG